CCCAAACTAGGAGTTGGGGGTTTGGGGTTGTGGGGGGCAACTAGGGCTTCGGGTTTCGGGCTTCGGTCTTCGGGATGCGAGTGTAGTCTAGGGTTTGGGCTTAGGGGGGCACCGGAAGCTCAGTATGTGGATCCCCTTCCTTGGAGGTTCTCAGTCAGGTTTAGGGTTTAGGGTTTAGGGTTTAGGGTTTAGGGTTTAGGGTTTCGGGATTCGGGTTTAGGGTTTCGGGTTTAGGGTTTGCGGGCTTAGGGGGTTAGGGTATAGGGCTACTTGGAGGGTCATTTTGGGTACTTAGAAGCAGGGATATAACTGCCCTAAATGGGGCTACAAGTAGAGTTACCATACTTATAACCCTACGTATGTCCACAGGAACCCTAAACCCTAAGCTACCCTACACCCTACACCCAAAACCCTCAACCCTAAACCTCCAAGTATGGGAAGCTGCGGTTTTTTTCCGGGATGTCGGCGTTCGGGAGTTGTAAGGGTTTTGGGGGGTTTGTGGGTTTTAGGGTCCCCCACAACTGAAGCTCTGCCTTATTTATTGGGCGGGCTTAGGGACTTTGGGGGCTTTATCAAGGCCTAAGCGGTGCAGGGTTATAGGTTTGGGGTTTGAGGGTTAGGGTTTAGGGTTTAGGGTTTAGGGTTTAGGGTTTAGGGTTTAGGGTTTAGGGTTTAGGGTTTAGGGTTTAGGGTTTAGGGTTTAGGGTTTAGGGCTTGAGGGTTTGAGGGCTTTATGGGTTTAGGGTTGAAGGCAGCTTGGAAAATATGACCGCCTTAGCGCAGGCACTCTGCCTACGGACTAAACCCTAAACCCTAAACCCTAAACCCTAAACCCTAAACCCTAAACCCTAAACCCTAAACCCTAAACCCCAAATTGAAACCCGAATCCAAGCAAGGACTGCCAGGAGCGGCTATTTCGCGTCGGAAAATCCGGGTGTGGTGGCTCTCAGCCGGGGTTCTTAGCCCCCTTGCGCCGTGTCCACCTCCGCTGCCATCTTGCGCGGAACCTGGGATGCCAGGCTTAGGGCTTAGGGTTTAGGGTTTAGGGTTTAGGGTTCAGGGTTTAGGGTTTAGGGTTTAGAGTTTGGGGTGTATGGTTTAGGGGTCATCGAGCTTGCGCGCCTTAAACCCTGAACTTGAAATCGAAAACCTTGAACCCGATCAACCCTAATTAAACCCCAAGGTCGTAGGAGAAAAGAACACTAAGCCATAAAGACCATATATGTATATAATTACCTGTACCATACCTGATAACCCTGTTTGCAACTACCCATGAACCTCCAAGTAGGTCTACGGTTTCTGAGATAGCCCAATTCAAAACCCGAAAAGCCAAGCCCTAAGCCAAACTCCCCTTAGCTAAGAAAGAAGTCTCTCAAGACCCATGAACCTACAAGTACGAAAACAGCTTACATTGAGAGAGTGGTGGCGTTTGAGGGCTGTTTGTATGATCAGGGTTTAGGAAGTTTAGGGTTTCAGGCTTTAGGGGGGGGGGGGGGTCATCACAAGGGGGGAGTAGAGTCAGTTTAGAGGACCCTGAACCCCAAACCCTAAACCCCAAACCCTAAACCCTAAATCCTACCCGCTCACAAACCTGAGTCAACCTTTGGCTTTTCGGCTCAAGAGTGGCGCCTTCTCCGGGGAAGCTCCGCCATCTCCGTTTGGAGAGGCCTGCACCCCAACAAAGGCTTCCCTAATCCCTACACCCCGAAACCCGAAGCCCTAAGACCCACAGGACTCTTTATCTGTTGCCCTTATACCATAATGCAGCCCCTAGATACCCTAAAAAAAAAACCACCCTACAAAACAGAAACCCCACTTAAGGAGACCACCAACCAGTATAACCTATAAGCCCTAAACCTAAAACGCTTGAGGCCTTAAAGGGTTAAGAGGGGTGGGGGGGTGGAAGGCGGCTTGTGGGAGCCCTAAGAGCTCAGGTTTATTTATAAGTACCCTAAGTAGAGTAGTAAGGTTTAGGGTCTAGGGTTTCGGGTCGTTTAGGGTTTAGGGTGAGGTCCTAAGAGTAACCTAGGAATGAAAACGGCGTCCGTTTTGGTGTCAAAAGGGGATTATGAGAGAACCTGTGAGTATGGTTACCAGACTCCACCCTACTCACAACTACCCATGAACCTCCAGGTAAACCCTAAAACCTCAACCCTAAACCCTTAACACTAAACCCTGAACCCCCTACGTAGAACTACCCGAACCTCCAAGTAAAGCCTAAACCCTAAACCCTAAACCCTAAACCCTAAACCCTAAATCCTAAACCCTAAGCTGGGCTTGTTGCTTGCGTCTGGTTGGTGCAAGGGGCCGATGCTCGCGGGCTGGAAGGTTCTTAAGCTAGTGTTTAGGGTTTAGGGTTTAGGGTTTCGGGTTTAGGGTTTAGGGTTTAGGGTTCATCTAGAATTCCCCCGAAAGGATATATATATATATATATAGATATAGAGAGAGAGAAATACATATGTGGGTGGCTGTCAAAATTATGATCCCTTTTGGGGTACCTTTAATACTATGTGCCGTATTATAATGGGGGACCCAAACAGGAACATAATTTTGACAACCACCCATGTATGCATAGGTATGTAAACAGGAGACATGAACCCTAAACTCTAAACTCAAAACTCAAAACCATAAACCCCAAACCCTAAATTCTAAACCCTAAACCCTAAACCCTAAACCCTAAACCCATGCCAGGGGCTGCGGGTAGAATCGCCCTGAACCAAGCCTCTCCACCGTTCTTGCGCTTCTTCTCGCCAAGGGGCTGCAAGCCAGGGCAAAGCTGAGGGAGGGTCGCTTGGAGGCTAGGGCTATAGAGTGGGACCTGAAATGTACGGTTTAGGGTTTCGGGTTTCGGGTTTCGGGTTTAGGGTTTAGAGGGCTTGGAGGTTCGTGGGTAGTAGTGTAGGGGTTATAAGTACCGGAATAGGGTTATAAGCAGAGTTACCATACGTGTAACCCTACCTACAACTTCCCATCAAGCGCCAAGGAAGGGCTGAGGGCTCAGGGTTTTGGGGCATTTGGATTCTCGGGGTTTGCGTCTAGGGATTGGGGGTTAAGAGTTCTTCTGACCTTCTACTGTGGCGGATTTGGGGGCCTCATGGACATCGAATTTCTCTGGGGTTGTCTATTCCCAAACCAGCCCCTGCGCTGAGATTTTCGAGTTGCTTTCTCTCGGTTGCCGGACCAGAGGATTTCGGCAACTGCTTCTGTAGGTGCTCAATAGGTGAAGTTGTCGGGGCGGGGGGGGGTGGAAAGGGTTTGTTTGGCTTCGGGTTTGGGCCTACATCCCTCCCAAAACTTCGTTCCATCCCACATTCGCATGACTGGTCTGGACTGTTTGGAGTGCAGTAGACAAGCCTACACTATGCCGCCAACACTCCGCAATCCAGAGTCCAGCCGCAGATAACAGACCCCAACTTGTTACAAGAGGCCTCTCCAGAACTCCGCGGCCATGCTGAAGGTAGACCATGCACACCCAGCGTCTAAACCCCGCAAGCGAACCCTAAACCCTAAACTGCAAGATCGCTGAAGTCCGATGCTGGTGGGCCTGACGGTATCGCCTGCAGAAAGCAGTTGTCAGGGCTGCGGCAAAGGACCGAACCCCAAAGAGCCCAAATACCTTGAAAATTAGGAATAGACACCTTAAAATCATACCAAGGATCCCGATAAGTAAGAGGTACTCTCCTAGAGCCAGAATAAGAAGCCCGATGTAGTCTAAGATGTATTTCTTGATTATGGGGTGCTGGGCTTTCTGGGATCTTGATCTTTTCTAAGCACCTTTGCGTCTCTATGACCCTAAACCCTAAACCCTAAACCCTAAACCCTAAACCCTAAACCCTGAAGTGGATCTGCGACTCCGGGAGCTCTTGACAATCTTGATTTTACCTTGATTGTCCTTAGACAACTGATCTTGAAGCAGAACCCCCCCCCCCCCCATTGCCCCTAAAAGCCGCAAACCCTGAACTCTCAACCCCTAAACCCTAAACCCTAAACCCCTAATCCCCTAAACCCCTAAACCCCTAAACCCCTAAACCCCTAAACCCTAAACCCTAAACCCCCAGGCTTAGGGTTGAATAGGGGGCCTGAGCCACTAAGGCTCAGACATGTACCAACCCTTGTCCGGCCAGGCACTTCCTGAGCACGGGGGTGCTTGGGGCGAGAGGGGGTACAGGGTTTAGGGTTTAGGTTTTAGGGTTTAGGTTTTAGGGTTTAGGTTTTAGGGTTTAGGGTTTAGGTTTTAGGGTTTAGGGTTTAGGGTTAGGGTTGAGGGATTTATAGGGTTTCAGGTTGTGGGGCTTAGGGCTGGGGGTGTAGGGGCTTCGGGTTGAGCTTTGAGGGGTCAGGGGGTGTAGGGGCCAGGGCTTAAGAGGATTCAAGGTTGTAGAGGGCTTAGAAGGTTCAGCTTTTGGCTTTATGGGCTTTGGGGGGCTTAGGGTTTTTACGTGTAGAGGGTTCCGGGACGACTTTGCACGCGCAGAGAGAGCCGTTCGGGCGTAGGCACATAGCGGAGGACCCCGCTCCTCCTACTACAACTATAAAGGACTGACCTAGGAGATCGTACAAGACTTTGAACTGCAGGGTTTAGGGTTTAGGGTTTAGGGTTTAGGAAACTGTCACCTGTGGCACCTATGGGTTCTTCGCAGGGACTGTATACTCCCTCGAAGGTCGAAGGGTGTATGTAGGATTTGGGGTTTAGGGTTTAGGGTTTAGGGCTAGGGTTTAGGGTTTAGGAATATCAGGCACCTCAGTCCCTACACCCCACGTAAACCCTGAACCCCTAAATCCCAAAACCCCCAAACCCCTTAAACCCCTCTACCCGCACGAAGATCCAGTAAGTATGGAGGCGCCCTAAACCCTAAACCCTAAACCCTAAACACTAAACCCTAAACCCTAAACCCCAAACCCTAAACCCTAAACCCTAAACCCTAAACCCTAAACCCCATACCAAGACAAAGTAAAGGATGGAGGCCCTGAGCTTGAGACTCAGGAGCGCCCCCTTTGTTTCAAGACATCTTCCTGGGCTTCTGGCCACTGGCACGGTCTTTTTTCCTTGGCGCGCTCTTGCCGTAGGGTTTAGGGTTTAGGGTTTAGGGTTTAGGGTTTAGAATTTAGGGTTTAGGGTTTAGAATTTAGGGTTTAGGGTTCAGGGTTTAGGCATTAGGGTCAAGCAGCATATCCTGCTCAATGCAGGATAACGTGCGCACGCGCAAACACACAGTGGAAACGTAGTGAGGTAGTTCAGGTCTCGATGCTCTTGAACAGTAGGCTCGTAGAGGAAATAGGACAAGCAAGCTTCACTCAACAGAGTTGCTAGTCCCAAGAGTAACCTAGGAAAAAAGGAATACTTTTTGGTTTAAAGGGGAGTGCAAGGGAACCCAAACCCATTAAAAAAGTGAATAAGGGCCTACTCTGGGTCCAACCCTAAACCCTAAACCCTAAACCCTAAACCCTAAACCCTAAACCCTAAACCCCGAACCCTTTGAAAAAGGGGGAAAAAGATCCTACTCTGGGTCGTCGGAGTTGCCTCCAAGGCTCAACCTTTCTTGGAAGGTCAGTGCCGTGGCATTCAGCTCCTCCCATCCTCTAAGCTGCTCTGACTTGGGGTCTGAAGGGTTAGGGTTTAGGGTTTAGGGTTTAGGGTTCAGGGTTCAGGGTTCAGGGTTCAGGGTTCAGGGTTCAGGGTTCAGGGTTCAGGGTTCAGGGTTCAGGGTTCAGGGTTCAGGGTTTAGGGTTTAGGGTTTAGGGCTAGGCTTTAGGGTTTAGGGTTTAGGGCCTAAAGTGTCCCACACCCCAAGCTCCTAAGGTACCCCAACTGCGCTGACAACTAGGACGGTTTAGGGGTTTAGGGTTGAGGGTTTAGGGTTGAGGGTTTAGGGTTTAGAGTTGAGGGTTTAGGGTTGGAGGCCACAAGGCGTGGGGCGCCTTTCGACATGCCGAACTGCGCGCGTAAGTCCGTGTGCAGCTGGAGGCCTGCGTGGGTTGGGTTTAGGGTTTAGGGTTTAGGGTACAGGGTATAGGGTCGTAGGGATGTAGGGATATAGGGTTATAGAGTTGTAGGTGTGTTTGCAATTTAGGGTGTTTGCAGGGTTGTAGAGATATAGAGACATAGGGTTATAGGGTTGTAGTTCAGTAGGTTTTTTTTACGGTTTTGGGCTTGCAGGTAAAGACTTTGTAGGGTTTCTAGGGTTTACGGTGTATAGGGTCTCTGTTCTGTTGTGTCTTGGGGTGGGGAGTTGATGTTTGTAGGGTTTATTGGGGTTCGCAAGGTTTAGGGTTAAGGGCGGCTTTAGGGTTTCAGGTTTGGTGGTTTAGGGTACTTAAGGTTTAGGGTTTAAGCTAAGGTCGTGCGAAGGTCTGGGGTTTCAATTTTTGTGTTTCGGGTTTAGGGGAACCTGCTCCCCAACTATTTTCAAAACCCCAACTATTTTGCAAACATGACGAGAAGCTTCTTCCTGGTAGACCAGTAACCATATTACAAATAAGGGGTACCCTTCTGGGGTTGGTTGCTATAGAGGTTCATGGTACTTTCTAACCAGTTATAATTCTACTTATAACCCTACTTCTAATACCCCTAAAGGGCCCTTATAGGGGTTATCCCAATTATAAGTAGGGTTATAAGTACAGTTAATAATTGGTTAGTAAGTACCATGAACCTCCAAGTAGAACCCAAAAAGGGGAAAAAGCGGCACCGCTGGGCTACCAGGATTTCGTAAGCAGCCCCCCCCCCCCCCCCCCCCCGCCAAGCATTTCAGTCTCCTAGGGCCAGGATCTCCCGAGCGTGCCTGGGGGTTTGGTCACTTCAACTGTTACATTCATACTATTCACTAATGTTCCAAATGAATTTTTGTATGTGATATGGATCTTTATGAACTGAACCATATTCATCAAAGAGTTTTTCACAACAGCTCTTTTTTCGTGTTTAATACTATACTTTGGTTTTGGACCGTTGTTAAGATTGGGATCTTCCCGCTTGTACAAACAATCCTTAGTACGGACGAGAATAGGGGGTACTAGAATCCATCTTAAGGACTGCTAGTATAAGGGGGAACATCCCAGTCTTAAGTCTTTAAACCCTAAGCCCGAAACCCTGAACCCCGACTACAGCCCAAACTCCAGAAGAACCCTTAGAGACATCTCCTAAAAGGTCCAAAGATGCAAGCTTACTCGGAGGTTCAGGGGTAATTTAGTCATAAGTAGGGTTGTAAGTATGGTAACTCTACTAATAAGCCTATTTCGGGTACTTCTAGCCCTGCTTAGAACTACCCGTGAACCTCCAAGCAGGGTTTAGGGTTTAGGGTTTAGGGTTTAGGGTAGGGGGCACTGAACCATTGCCTGCGTACAGGAAGTGGAACATGTGCGCCTGACCAGCTGAGCCCCTAAGACAAACGCGGTTTATGGTTTGGAGTTTAGGGTTTAGGATTTGGGGTTTAGGGCTTATGCGGCGGATTTAGGCCCCCCCCCTCCCCCGCCCCTGGGACGATGTCAAAGAAGCTATGCCGCAGATACAGATGTACAGATTTGCAAAAGCGGCCAGTCCGCCTTGATCTGTTTGTGCGGGGTGCTGTACAGCTTGGCCAGCTCCAGATACCTGCCCGGGGAAAGGATTGAGTCCAGGACCGCAGCCGAATACCCTAAACCCTAAACCCTAAACCCTAAACCCTAAACCCTAAACCCTAAACCCTAAACCCCCGAAACCCCTATAAACGATGCCGGTTCCTAAGCCCTACTGTAGCAGTGTATGAAGAGACACCAAGTCTGATCCCTAAACCCTAAAAACCCCAACCCTGAACACCAAACCCTTTAGTAGCGCTGTGAACCAGCAAAAGGGTACCACCAGGCTAATTACAAGGAAAGAAATATGCCCCCAAACCCTAAACCTTAGACCCTGCACCCTACACCCCAAACCCCAAACCCCAAACCCTCCACCTGACAAGCGAAACGGCAGCTCCATACTCCCAAACACAAGGTGGTGGATCCTTGGACGCGAAAGCCCCCCCCCCCCCCCACCCCAAACCCTAAACAACCCTTAGCCCTAAACCCTGAACATCTTGTAGCCCTAAATCCAAAAAGCCCTAAAACCCTACAACCCCTAAAACCAGTCAAACCCTAACACCCTAACTAAAGCCCAAACCCTAAAACCCTAAACCCTAAACCCCCCAAACATCCCCTAAGCCGTGAAACCCTATGGGAACTTTGCCGGGACTAGACCCAGGAGTAACCTAGGAATAAAACTGGTGCCCTCTTGGATTTAACCCGAGACCCTAAACCCTAACCCCTAAACCCTAAACCCTAAACCCTAAACCCTAGTAGAAGGCGCACTGCATGGCCAGCTCATCTTGGTAGATGGGAGGCCTCCGCGGGCGAAGGGGGAGGATCGATATGATTGGGAGAAGTGGAGGCGTCGGGTTTAGGGTTTAGGGTTTAGGGTTTAGGATTTAGGGCTTTCTGGCATGTAGTGTCTAGGTTGGAAATGCACAGGCCTAATGTAGAGATCCGTCCCCTGCAGCTGGTTGTAACAGCTTCAGGAGGCAAAGAAACCCGTCGAAGAGTTTCGGAGTGGGTCCTCTTGTCTGCTTGACTACTATTTGCTTGAGAGCCCCCAAAACAGAGCATACTAATCCCTATATTGCCCATACAAGGAGGAATGTTCGTTTTACGTTTCGGGGGGGTTCTTAGGCAAATAGTAGTTGAGTCTTCGCCAATGACAGTGACCAAGGAATCCTTGTACTCAAACAGTTGGGAATATAGGCTAGTATAGGGGCCTGAAAAACTACGATAGGATTCTGGGGTCATTTCAGTACAATTGAAATCGGGACCAGAGGGAACCCATTAGTAATTCATCGGACCCCACATTACTTAAACCCGCACTGTCACAAGGGCTAGTAAGCACTTTGGCACCCTTCTGACAAAACCTCAGCCACTTTCACAGCTGAAGCGTAGAAATTGATTCTGCAATCAGCTCTCCAAATTATGATCCTGCTTTGGGCACGTTAGTAGTAGAAGTGACTTGCTATGACAGGGACCCGCCCTGTGCCACTGTGCTGAGCTTCAACCCAAAACATCTCCCTAAAACACAAGCATAAACCCTAAACCCTAAACCCTAGACCATAAGGAAGGCACCTCCCGGCCATGGGTCCGGAGAAGAGCGCCGGGTACTCGAGAAGGGACTCGCTGGACATCACCTCGAGAGGCAGGGTGAGTCTGTGCGCCCAAGCCTGGGTTCAAAAATACATAAAAATGTACAAGTATAGAAATCTTCAAAAAAACCTATGTATATATCCATACAAGTAGAAATCTAAAACGGTACATGTATATATATATATATATGTATATTGACTCATGTGTTTTTCTCTTTTATACATGTAAGTAAAAATGCTTGGGACAACAAAATATCTAGCCAGAATGCTCAGGAGTCAACAGCTTCCACGAAGGAGATGGCTCAGAGGATCGGAGGATTCTAGGGAGGGGTTGGAGGTTCAACGGTACAGAAAGGTTTATAAGTCCCTGAGTAGTGAAATAAGGTTAGGTTTGGGGGGTTAGGGTTTAAGGTTTAGGGTTTAGGGGTTTAGGGGTTTAGGGGTTTAGGGGTTTAGGGGTTTAGGGGTTTAGGGGTTTAGGGGTTTAGGGTTAGGACCCAAGAAGAACCAAGGAATAAAAAGGGTGCCCTTTCAGGTTTAAAGGGGATTATAGGGGAACCTAAACTCGAAACAATGGGAATGAAGGGCCTACTCTGGGTCCTAGCTAAGCAGGGGATTAAGTAGAGCTAGCATACTTATAACGCGACTTATAACCTCCAAGATATGGCCTCGGGTTTCTTTAGGGTTCCGGGTTTAGGGTATTGATGTTGCTTTATTATGCAACTGCCATTTAACATTAGTTGACTCTCCCGGAACATGCGGGAATAGCCTTTTTGCCCAGCGAGATGTTTCGCTCCTCCAGGCGTCCGCGACGCTTTGGCCGGTGAGTCTTTTCGGTCAACCTGACCACGCTGCCGAGGTCCAGAATCCCCGTTACTTTGACATGACTCGCTTTGCTACCACTTTCTGGACCTAAACCCTAAACCCTAAACCCTAAACCCTAAACCCTAAACCGTACACAGCAACCCCTAAATCTTAAAACCTAAACCCTGAAAAGAACCCGAAAATCCCAAAAAATCACATCAAGGTATGGCCGATGCCTCCCAGCAAACTACATCGCTTGCAATTAAGGAAGTGAAAGTCCACAACATCTAGGACCCCGAGTAGGCCCTTGTTCCCGTTGTTTTGGGTTTAGGTCCCCTGACAATCCCCTTGAAACCCTAAACCCTAAACCCAAAACCTAAAGGGTGCCCTTTTTCATTCCTAGGATACTCTTGGGCCTGGACATGCATGCCACGCTGAACTGGCACACGGGGCTGCTTCCAAGTCATGGCTCCTCTCTCGGGCCTCTACCTCGGACCCCTAAGGCGGCATGGGAGGCCCTTTTCAAAGAGTTGTTTAGGGAATATGAGGGCTATGAGGAGTATGTTCAGGGGAACCTTTAAGGGTACAACCTTAGGGGTAAGATTCCCTAAACCCTAAACCCTAAACCCTAAACCCTAAACCCTAAACGATTCTTAATCCCTTGATCATCCCTGGGGTCTTAACTCTGTCAAACACGGCTCCTGCTCGCAGCTTAGCTTGGGGACAAGGAAGGCAGCCAAACTTGAGAAACAAGCCGCCCAAAAAGGGTCCAACATGGGGTCGTTCCCAAAATAGGGGGGGGGGGGTTTCCCCTGTAGTACCCCAACTAGAATGGAATCCCCTGAAGGAGGCGTAGCTTAAACGGTATAGGGATCCTTAGTAAGATTTAAGCTGTGTTCCTTAATTAAGGGGTATTGGGCTCTTTGGGTACCCCCTATTTTCGGAAACTCCCCCCAAGATATGGATATTCCCTAAACTCTAAACCTTAAACCCTAAACCCTAAACCCTTTCCCTATTTTCGGAAGGCCCCCCAAAATATGGGTCAGCATCGCACACCCAGCCGGCACCCGAGCGCGGGCTGGTGCCCAAACGGCAGCGAGCTGAAGGCTGGCCAGCTTTGGAGGCGGTTTAGGGTTTAGGGTTTAGGGTTTAGGGTTTAGGGTTTAGGGTTTAGGGTTTAGGGTAAGGGGGCTGGTGGCTCCTCAGAGCCTCGACTGTGCGTGGAGCTGAAACGTCGATCGGCCCTCCGGAGTGGTTTGGACGGAGCAGGGCAGGCCGAAGGCGTCTCGCTCAAGCAGCGCTTGGATGGTGCTCGCCTCCGCGCCTCTCTTGGGATTTTGGGGGTTTAGGGTTTAGGGTTTAGGGTTTAGGGTTTAGGGTTTAGGGGTTTAGGGTTTAGGGTTTGGGGTTTAGGGTTTGGGGTTTAGGGTGTAGGGTTTGGCATGTTCCCCCTTCTAAGAGGCCCTTATACTAACAGTCCTTAGGAGAGATTCTAGTACCCCCGACTACAGCCCTTACTAAGGACTAACAAAAGGGGGAACATCCCAAGGTTTGGGGTTTTGTAGGGTTGAACTCTGCCTCGAACCATCACAAGGCCTATTCTTCAATTCAAGGTATAAGTCTCAACCTCTAGATGAGGTGGGCAGCGACTGCCGTCAAGACTCAACAAGCTAGGACTCGAAACCCTAAACCCTAAACCCGAAACCCTAAACAGCCAAAGGGTCCCAGAATGCCCAGCGAGCCCAATACCCCCTGAACTTAAGGAATAGACCCAAAAAACTTGGGATGCTCCCCCTTATACTAGCAGCTCCTTATTGGGGATTACAGTCCCCTCCTATTAGATTCGCTGTTGAGGAGCTGCTAGTATAAGGGCCAACATCCCAACTAAAACATGTAAGGCTCGATGTTGCGATTTAAGGCATCCTTTAACTGAGGGGTATCGGGCTCGTTGGGCGTGCTATTTCAGACAAGGTTCTGGCGGCGATGAACCTTTCCGAAGTTGCAGCCAGTGTACCGATGATGATGGCTCGCTTGGGGTTGTTCCCCGCGTCGAAGACAACGGTCCACAAGTCGACCGTTGCCTCCCCCGAGGGTTGGTCGTTCATCTTCACTGGCTCAGGGTGAAGTCGTGAACAAAGCCTTGCTTCCACGGACAGCTGGGAGTAACATCTGATACCATTTCTGCGAAATGGAGCTTTCACATGGGGAGCCCGTCCCCTACCAGGCCCTACCACCCTGCCCCGCCCCCCTCAACAAAACAATAGAAAGGAAGAAGGGTGCAACCATGGCGCCACGAACCCTAAACCTAAGCCTTAGGGTCTTAGGGGAGTTGCATGGTCCCTTAGCATACTTCAGAACCCTCAAAAGAACGTAAGGGACCATACTACGTGCCCATGTAATATATAAGGGCCTTAGGGCTTGGGAGGTATTATTTTCTAGTATAATTGTAGAGGGACCATAAGGGAATTCTATTAGTAATTACTCCGACCCATATATTCACCACCCTAAGAGACTAAACCCTAAACCACGGGCCGAGGAGCTGCCTCGCTCGCTCTTGGTCTTCGTCGGCACGCCGGGGCACCCAGTTGCAAGGCTCCGTGGAGTAGACTCCCGCAGAATGCCTAGTTCATGGATGGGATAGCATTACAAAGTTATATGTTCCATCCCTTATTGGGTTTAAGTACCCTTAAAAATAGTAATTAACTCTAAACCCTAAGAACTAAACCCTAAACCCTAAAAAAACAAAATGCCACACAACTGTGGCAAAGATGCCTCGAGAAGATCCCACCGTTTGAGGTGACGAGCCCCTTGGAGCCTCGGTCCTTGCGAAGGATCTCGACCATCAGGGCGATACTGTGGGTGCCTGGGCCCAGGAGTAGCCAAAAAAAAAAAAGTTGCCGTTTTGGGGTTAAAGGGGCTGCTTATACAGGAACCCTAAACCCTAAACCCTAAACCCGAAACCCTAAACCCTAAACCCTGAACCCCAAAAAAAGAGGGCAAAAAGGGGCCCATTCTGAGTCCCAGGTGCTGAAGTTGTTCCCAGGGCCGCCGTGAAACTGCATGCCACCGGTCTTACAGACATCGGAGGCATGCAAGAAGGGCACCCCAAGCCTTAGGGTTTAGGGTTTAGGGTTTGGGGTTTAGGGTTTAGGGTTTAGGGTTTAGGGTTTAGGGTTTAGGGTTTAGGGTGAAGGGTGAAAGCCAAGATGCTGTAGGGCTGCGTGGCGGACGGCCACAGGAAAGCACGAGTAGAGCTCCTTGTGCTTGATGTTGGACAAAGGCTCTCCAAGGGTCTCCTCAAGCCTCTGACGTATTGTACGCAAGGCGGGGGAGATGGTGAAGTCCGGACGGTACAGCATCCGGTAAGGCTCCTCGTTGACGTCCGCGTGCGCATGGAGGAAGACGAAATTCTCCGGCGGGACTCCCCGACGTCTCGCCTCGCCTAGAGACATCCTGAGCACCGGGTTTAGGGTTTAGGGTTTAGGGTTTAGGGTTTAGGGAGACTCGAGGTGAACTCAATTAGAGGGTCCTTAAGGGAGGGGGTTTCCATTCTCCACTACTCCATAAGGCTCCCTAAGCTTCCCTAAGGTTCCCCACCATATGAACTCCCCTTTTCTTACGGACCCTATACCTCAACCATGAATATGGGGGGTTATCTAGACTATGGCCCCTTTTGCTCCCTAAGCTTCCCTAAGGTTCCCTACCGTATGAACTCCCCTTTTCTTACGGACCCTATACCTCAACCATGACATATGGGGGGTTATCTAGGCTATGGCCCCTGTTGGCGGGTACCCTAAGTCCAAGGCTGCGCACCCCGAAACATCCCAAAAGGACCATCATCTGCAGAACTTTTGCAAGTGCAACTTCATATGCAGGGCTTTCTAATTTAGGCCCCTCGCCCTTATAGCTGATAGACCCTCCTTCAATCCGACTCCCCCCCCCCCCCAAATGGACCCTGATTTAGAACAGGACTCTATAGGCCAAGCATCAAGACGACAGCCGCGCTCTGGTCCACGTCAATGAAGGAGTTCCTATGGCTGCAACTTGCCGAAAAAAACAGCTTACAAAGGCAACTTCTTCTCAGCTAAGCCCCCCCCCTTTTCCTAAACTAGTAACAGTAGACAACTAAATGGGGCCACTGAGGGTCATCATCCGCGTGTACGGGAAGGCCACGAAACGGTTGGAGCGCCCAGGTGTTGCGATCTCCTCCGCACTCCTGGCCTGTGGATCCCAGGCGTTGTCGGGATCTGCGGCTGCAAGTTGGCCTAGACCCAGGTTTTAGCCTAGGAATAAGAAAAGGGTAACCTTTTTGGTTTCAATAGGGGATGATAAGGGAACCCAAAACCCGAAACCCGAAACCCTAAACCCTACTCTGGGTCCTAGAGTCTGAACTCCGACATCAGGCGAGCCAGTTCAAGCTGGTACTGCTCCCGCGGGACGTGGGCATAGCGCTCCTTCTTGTAGGCCTGCTCGAAGATTGCATAGGCGACGGTGGGGTCCACCAAGCCAGTCAGAATCATCTGCTTTGTCACATAAGCTCTCATGCCTTCGGATTTCCGAAAGCGGCGTGGTTCGCCACCGGGGTCGTCACCCCAAGGTAGTTCCTGGTTCATAGTTGGGCTAGTAATAAAATTTTAAAATTTTATTCCTTATTGAGTTTAAGTACCCTTAAAAATAATGTAAAATGTTACCCCACTATGATAAAGGTTCCTTGCCCGAGGATTCTACCTGGCTCTTCTTCGCCGACAGCTTCGTCCGAATCTCCGTCACGCCCGGGAGGGTCATGCCAGCCTCGGGGACTAGCTGGGAATCTCAACTTCGGGCCCTTTGTTTGGGTCCCTTGTTATATGAACCCTTGTATAATATAATATAATATAATATAATATATATATATATATTTATTTATATATATATATATATATTTTTTTGTAATATACGTTAATATACAGTGAGGGCCCATACTTCGGATCCGTACAAACAAGGGTATAAGGGACCATACCAAGGGCCCATGGTTCCAACCTTAGAGACTACTTGAACCGCAAGCGGGATTATGATCCTTGCACCTTCAGGGGAATTCTCATGTAGGCGGTTTTTTCTTAAACTTGCCCCAAACCCTATGAAAACCTATAACCCTATGAAAACCTACAAGCCCTAAGCTATTTGCTCCTCAAGGGGGCTCGAAGGGCGTTCTTCAACGCAGCCAGGCCCTCAGCTCCACAAATGACTGCCGACCGAATCCTGGCAAGGGCTTTGAAGTTTAGAGGCAGAATCACATTCACAGTACAATAGTAGCAATAGCAGCTGCGGGAGTCATAGGAGGAGGAGGAGGAGCAGCAGCAGCAGCAGTCGCAGTCTCCGGGGCCGTGGCTGTGGCTGTGGCAGTGACGGCAGCAGCAGCAGCAGGAGGAGGAGGAGGAGGGAGGAGGAGGAGTGGTCGTCGTCGTCGTTGCAGTAGTGGTAGTAGCTTTCTTGCTGCTGCAACAGGAATAGCCGTTGTAAGAAAGCATGAGCGAGGGAGAGAGAGAGAGAGAGAGAGAGAGCGAGCGAGCGAGCGAAAGAGAGCGAGCAAAAGAGAGCAAGAGCGAGAGCGACAGCGAGAGCGAGAGAGAGAGAGAGAGACAGAGAGAGAGCGAGCGAGCGAGCGAGCGAGTGAAAGAGAGCGAGCGAAAAAGAGCGAGAGCGAGAGCGAGAGAGAGACTGAGAGATAGAGAGAGAGAGAGAGAAGAGAGAGAGAGAGAGAGAGAGAGAGAGAGAGAGAGAGAGAGCAGAATGAGACATGGAGAGACCCTAGAACACCCTAAGCCCAAGCCCCTGAACCCTTAAACCCCTAAACCCCTAAGCCCCTAAACCCCCAAAACTCCTAAACCCCGAAACCCCTAAACCCCTAAACCCCAAAACTCCAAAACCCCTAAGCCCCTACACCCCCTAAACTCCTAAACCCCCTAAACTCCTAGACCCCCCCTAAGCTGAGTTGAAGCGCCTGGCTGTGGCGATCATCTCCCCCAGCATGTTTATCAACTCCTGGGGGCCGTTGCCACCTTCGGGACCAAGGAGCACCCAAATTGGGGGGGGTTTAGGGTTTAGGGTTTAGGGTTTAGGGTTTGGGGTTTGGGGTTTAGGGTTTCGGGTTTAGGGCTCAGGGCTTAGGGCTTAAGGCATTTTAAGTTTAAGGCATTTTGGGGGGTTAGGGCCTCGGGTCCAGGCATCCCTCTTAGGGCCTATGGACCCTCAAGCCCTAAACCTCAACACCCAGAACCCCCGAGACCCGAAACCCTAAACCCTAAACCCTAAACCCTAAACTCGAGTAACCCGAAACCCTTCGGAGCCTTCACTTAGTGCCCAATGCCACCTAGACCCAAGAGTACCCGAGGACAAAGACGGGGCTTATAAGGGAACCTAAACCTCCAAAAATGGGGATAAGGGCCTACTCTGGGTCTTAGTAACCCTAAACCCTAAACCCTCAACTTTAAACCGAAAACCCTAAACCCTAAACCCTAAACCCTGAACCCTGAACCCTGAACCCTATTCCCCCTTTAAACTCAAAAAATGAACATTAAGAACCGACTCTGGGTCCGAGCCGCCCATGGGGTGCACGTACAGCTGGTTCTGCTCGATGGCATCCACTGCACCGATCCGGGCGGCCAGTGACTTGGGTGGGTTCGGGTAGTGCTTGGGCGTCTTCCTTGGAGACTCAGTTTAGGGTTTGGGGTTTAGGGTTTAGGGTTTAGGGTGGTGCCTGGGCGTCTTCCTCAGGGGCTGCGGAGTGTAGGGTTTAGGGTTGAGGGTTCGGGGCAGTGTTTGGGCACTTTTTTTTTTTTTTTTTTTGGGGGGGGGGGGGGGGGGGATCTGGCTCCAAAGTTTAGGGTTTAGGGTTTAAGGTTTAGGGCTTGGGGTCGAGGGTTTGGGTTTAGGTCTTAGGGTGTACAGGGGTGATTGTGGGCCATGAAATTCGCAGGGCCCATGTAATATTGGACCTGTTACGTATTCATGCTGCTACCTGTTTAGGCTTCTACAAAAAGATCTTCTTTGCAAAATAGGGTATGTCGCAAGATAGGGTACCCCGAATATACCTCAAAATCCGATCACTCTTGAGAAAGAATCCCGTGCCCAGCTTCGTAAAGCCCTGTAAACTTGCTGGTTCTTAGGCAAACACCTTCGAAACGTTATTGGTTTTCAGGGTGGCTTCTGAACCCAAACAAGGAAAATGTGCAACTTTTCTCAAGTGCCAACCGAATTAGTGTAAAGGCCCAAAGCCCCAAACCCCAAACCCCAAAACCTGAACCCTCAACCCTAAACCCTAACCCTAAACCCTAAACCCTAAACCTACTTCAAAGGTCCACCCCAAGGTGCGGGGGCACCAGGCTCTCATGCCAGAATTCCAGCGTCGCCACGCAGTCGACGTCCGCTCCCTGGAGCTTTGCATCCTCAAGCGCGCGCCGCACCGTTCCTCTGCTGTTCCCCCGGGGTCCCTTGCAGAGCTACTCCTACATGAATATGTATATATATATATACACATGTATATTTGTGTATGTATGTGTATATCTATGTGTATATATATATGTGTGTATGTATATGTATATATATATATATATATGGATATGTATATGGGTGTATGTATGGAAATATACATATGAGTGTCTGGTCCCCTTGACACTTCATACATACATACATGGAGCAGGCGTCGAGATACCAGTACAACTTCAAATGAGTTTGAGGTAGGACCGTGCTGATTCGAAGTTCCCATCTGGAATGGTTTCCCCCCCATGCATTGTGCAAGCACAAATGCACGACTTCACACAAGACGTCACGACTTTTGGATGTTCCCCCTTATACTAGCAGCCCGGAACAAAGATTGTACTAGGGGTACTACACTCCCTATTGAGGACTGTTAATATAACGGGGAACATCCCAACCAACCCCTTTATAAATCAGGGCGAGGTTCTCTCCAACAGCTCCAACGGCGTCAGAGCGTCGGACAGGTCCTCGCGCTGGATCCGGTGGGTGTAGCGAGCCACCCCCACCACCACGGGCGTCGTGTCCGCCACAGACATGTTCCAAAAGTCTATCTACTTTCTGGTGAGTCTTCTTCGCTCAGCTGTGTGCGTGGTGATGTTCTGGCGATGCTTGAGGAACTACCGTGGAAAGTTTTGCTGCTCGACGCAAAGGCTGAATTTTAAGAGGCTTACACAGGTCCTCACACAACATCCCCTGCAGCTCCACCCTAAACCCTAAACCCTAAACCCTAAACCCTAAACCCTAAACCCTAAACCCTAAACCCTAAACCCTAAACCCTAAACCCTAAACCCTAAACCCTAAACCCTAAACCCTAAACCCTAAACCCAAACCCAACCCTAAACCCTCCACTACTGAGAAAAGACTCAGGCCAGCACAGCATCCACGCCCGTCGCTTGCATGCAGCGCTCAACATCCTCAAACCTGCCATTTGGTGTTTGAAGAGTGTGTGGCATCAAGGGTTTAGGGTTTAGGGTTTGGGGTATGGGGTTTAGGGTGTCGTTCGGATGAGAAGTAGTTGCCTGAAGGATCAATGGTCAACACTTACCGACCATTCAAATCTGTGGCATACAACGACACTCCAAGCAACAGACAACATGAAATGACAATGTCCTACACTAGACCCCAGAGTAACCTATGAAGAAAAGGTAGCGCTTTGTTAGGGGGATCAGAAGGGAGCCTAAACCCTAAAAAAGGGAATAAGGGCCTACTTTGGGTCCTGGTAGCCCGAAACCCCTAAACCCTGCACCTTAAGCCCTGATCCCTAAGAAGAAACCAAAGGCAATAAGGGCCCACTCCAGTATGAAGCCCACAACCCCAAAAGCACCACACCTAAGGCCCCGCTGGCCCCAAACGTCCCGAAGCCATAAATGGGCTAAGGGTTCAACTGCACATGCCCCTAAACCCTAAACCCTAAACCCTAAACCCTAAACCCTAAACCCTAAACCCTAAACCCTAAACCCTAAACCCTAAACTACATCCTAAACCCCACATGCCAGAAGCGCGTATGGATCCCGCCATTGGCAATCAGAGGGATGCCAACCCTGCGCTTCACGGCGGCGATTGCATCCTTGGGCCCGCAAGGCACGAAGACTCTTAACCCGAAACCCCACAGGGTTTAGGGTTTAGGGTTTAGGGTTTAGGGTTTAGGGTTTAGGGTTTAGGGTTTAGGGTTTAGGGCTAAGCTCTGTCGGGTTTGGGGTTAAGAGCTTCGGTCGTATAATGCAGTCCTGCTATATGAGCATCATTGAAGCAGGTGTGGACCTTACCCTAAACCCTACACTTGCCTTGGCTGCCAATGCAAGGCATCTCAAACAAGGGTCCTTTTCGGAGTGGGGCGTTCGAGGGTTTAGGGTTTAGGGTCTGAGGTTAGTTTAGGGTGACAAGTGTGTAGTTCTCTAGATTTAAGCCCCTTTTCGGGTCTTATATATAGTACGGTAAGGGCCCAAAAAGGCACCCTAATTGAGAACTGCCCATGTGGTGCGAACATCCTGAGCTGGCAACCCAATTGGCAGGGCCAGTAGATTGGCCCTTCATCTCCTGTGCAGGGAGGTTGCCGCTTGCTGTACAGGCGAAAGTTACGGATGTCCCTGAACCCTAAACCGTAAACCCTAAAAACCTAAAACCCTAAACCCTAAACCCTAAACCTAGTAACTATGGGGGCTTCATTTTTGCTGTGACGAGGCCAGGGGAGGAGGGCCCAGGCTTGTGACTTTAGGGTTTAGGGCTTAGGGTTTAGGTACTTGGAGGTTCGTGGGTAGTTTTAGTAAGGT